TAAACAAGATTGGACAGGGAGCGGCTGTAATATCAAAGGAGCCGGCGGCTTCTGCTAGCCGGGTTGATAGTTAAGTAACATCAAGGTGGTTCAAAAGCAAACCTGATAAAGAAGGAAACCCCGTAGTTAATAGTTGAAAGTCTTGGTGGCTTTAGGCGATCGATACCGCCATGCTGTTTACTTTATATGACATACAATGCAGTGAGTGATGTGTATCGCACCGAGTTAGCTCGGTTGGAAACGCGCAAGGCGGCAATCCCAGGCATTGCAAGTTCGAACCCCAGTGCATCGGACATTAATATTTTTAGCAATTTAACATTTTTAACAATTTTATCATTTTTAACAATTTTATCAGTTTTAACAATTTTAACAATTCTGCATTTTAACAATTTCAACATTTTTTTATTTTTCGTTGTTTTGCTTTTAACATTCAAAAACTGATTGTTCTTACTCAAGAATGTCAATAACTTAGAATGTTGGTCTTTTGTATTTTTCCAACATACAAACTAAAATCACTTTGATGTTGTCACAAAAGTATTGAGCTGACAAGAGAGAAGGAGTACGGTACTCTGCCAGTGTTAGGAATCTACAGAGGTATTACCAGTCACTAGTAGCAAGAGATAGACCACATTGAATGATGACGGTGAGGACGAATCATATGAAGTACTATCATAGCTAGTACAGAAATTCTACTGCTTTACTTTACTTTACTTTCTTTCACTCTGTACATGCAATTAGCTCACTGGCATGATTTTAAAAATAAAGGTTATGATAATCATATTATATGTATAGCTTATTCAATGTATGGCTTCATAGTTTATGTGATTGTTAATAACACCTGCACAGAGCATTTTCATGCTGACAGTATGTCTTTATTCAAGTGTTTTGGTAGGTATTTCAAGCTTTTCTGCTCCAGCATTGGAATGCGGGGCATGAACGTTTTTTTTTTATTTTGAAAATCAACAGTTTGCATTATGCAATTAAAAATCCTAACCAATAAAGTAGGGAATAGCTATCCAACTGTTGTTTTAGTTGTATGTTACTTCATATTATAGTTATATCAATGTAAATCATTGTTTTCCCTTGTGTTTCTCATTCTTTCCCTGCCATGTCGTAAAATGTGGTGAACCCATCGCTGTATTTGCTCCAAAGCAAATATTGGCCTTTCTAGTGTGATTTTATAATTTCTTATGGTCACTCACTGTTGCCTGGGGATGTTTTTCAGCACACTAATTATCCTTTCATATCGTCAGGTGTGTCCTGAGGGTCAGCTGTCCTGACTGGGAGAAACTGTGACGACGGCTCAGCAAACCAGATGACTTGAAGACACTGAGGGAAATGAAGACTCTCCATAAGTAAGTATTTCACAATGTATTATAATTTATATTTATTTTACTAAGGCCACACCAATTTAATTATTGGTTCTCAGAATTGCTTCATTTTCTTCTGACTTGCAAACAAAAACAAATGAATAAAGATTCAGGTTCTGAATCAACTAAAAAATTCTCATATTTTGGCCCAAACAGTTGAAGAAAGCTCTTTGTCTTCCTATAGTTCATAAATTTTTTCCATTTATCAATGCATTGGTTTCATAGATAAAAGTTTACACTTTCTTGTTTGAATTATAATCCAGCTTGGTATATTGACTTTATGGCTCGCATTGTGGCTTTGGGCTTTATTGAAATTTGCCCTGTCTCTTCATATTTAAAAAAAAAATCCAAGAATCAAGAAATGAAATTTGTGCGGCCTAAGCCACGAAAATGGAAATAGATTTTTTCTGTGGACAAATTGATGTAGGTGTAGTGTTGCATCAGTGAATGATACATTGTGTAAATTGGGCATTCCAAAAGAAAATGAAATTGTAGCCTCAGCTTTTAGTTTCCTCTTGTTAGGTTGGTAGTAATCACAGTACACTTTATTCCAACATGACAAGGACAGAGAGATCAAATTTTCAATGGCCATTGTTGCCTTCATCAGGGTAATTAATGACCAATCACTTCGGAATGTAAACTCGCTTGTCTGTGGCATGTTTGATGAATTGCGGAAGGCTTTTGTGAAAAAGGTCATGTGTTTGTAATTAACCGAAACTCTTGCGAGTTTACATTTTTGGAAGTTATTGGTCATTAATTATCCTGATGACGTTGAAAGTAATCGTTGAAAATTTGTCCTCGCTGTGTTGCAATAAAGTTCAACATTGTACCGTCTTTAACTCTTGTGACAGTCTTTTGGTATCACATGTAAGGGTTGATGATATGATGTGATGTGAAAAGGATGTTAAATTCGAATTTTTATGTTGAAGAAAATATGTAATTTGGATGCTATTGTGGTTTGAATTTTAGCTACACTGTAGCAGTAACAAAATTCATATGTTGACTTATTATTATTAGCAGTTAGCAAAATAGTTCGCTTCTGCTTTCTTTAAATGGAAGAAAGTTTGGCTAATTGTATGATGGGAGTATGCATAACATTTCACCTGTGAGTGAAAGAAAGTTTATTGCTGCTGTTGTGTGCAGTATTGTTTAGTTGTTAAAGGTGAATAATTTCTCTGCTATATATACTGACTTCTTGTTTTTGTCTCTCCACATGACTGATGGTGGATTCCCTATGGAAGGAAGGACCAGACTTTGGCCAGCAAAGCAGTGAGAGAAGACACTAGCAGACCTGGGGTTGTGAGTATAGTTTGTTTGTGTAGCAACACGACCATTTCCAACACTCCCGAGTACACACACCTGCCTGCATTTCTTTCCTTAAACACCCACTTTCCTTCAACCTTGTTTAATCTTCTCTCAAGCTCAGTCACTAACTCTCTCTGGCACTGCTTTCACAGACTCTTTTCTTTGCCTTTTAATAGCCTTTCATCCTTAAACTTGCACTGCTTTTAATTACAAGGTACGTCACCCTTTTTTTGACTAACCCTGCCTGTCATCTTGTTTGGCTTAAATTTGCACTGTATGTCATCTTTGGACCCTCTTACCACAGCTGCTCCAAGCCCTTAATTAATTTGATTAGCTTTTCCCGCCAAAAAACTTAGTATATAGAGCTCTAACCTTGAACTTGTGCCCCCCTCCCCACACTCCACAACTTGCATGTTAGTTACACTGTTCCTCTTTGGACATGTCACTTATCTGAAGATGTAGTCACCACACTCTGCTACCCAAACACTTTCACGTACTTTATCGAGTGCAGTTCTTCCGGCACAAGCAAGACTTAAGAATAATCTCGCTCTCCTGGTCAGTCAATGCACTAAGTGTACTCCCCGGGGGATGTCTTTTTGGAGACATTGATGCTTCGACACATCAGTATACCAGTGCAATCGACTGAGCAAGAGATTCTTAAGTCTTGTGGCGGAAGAACTGCACTCGATAAAGTACGTGAAAGTGTTTGGGTAGCAGAGTGTGGTGACTACATCTTTGGATAAGTGACATGTCCAAAGAGGAACAGTGTAACTAACATGCTGCAAGTTGTGGAGTGTGGGGAGGGGGGCACAAGTTCAAGGTTAGACTGCTCTATATACTAAGTTTTTTGGCGGGAAAACTTTAATCCAATTAATTAACCAGGTGAGGGTCCCAATAAGTTCTTTTTTGTAGAGGAAAGTAGAGTACTTAAATCGAATCAGCATGAAGTTAACTCGGCCAACTAAGATAATAAGTTCTTTGGTGAGAAAATTTGTGTAAAGGTCCAACAATTTGGGGGCAATTTAAGTGGCCGGCTGAGATACTAAGTTTCTGGCGGGAAAATAGAAGTGTAAAGGTTCAATTCTACAAAGAGGATAACAACGTGGAATTGAAGCAGCCTGCTAGGGTACAAGGTTTTTTGGCGGGAGAATTTAATTGTAAAGGTCCAAACACCAAAGTGACAATTTTTGGGCAATTTCGCATTCAACTATACGATAACAAGAATATATCAGTGTCCTTTGTTGTGGAATTAAAGTTGCCAGCTACGATTAATGCTAAGTGCCTCATGGAAAAAAAGGCAGAGTAGAGAGAACAGGGCGAAAGAGAAATGCGAGTGCAAGTGTGTGCACCTGAGGGCATGTGGAGTGTTGTCTCGTGTTAATAAAGAAAACATACTCACACCTCCCCATCTTCTTTTACACAGGTTGACATCTGCCAACAAAATGTCTGGTCCTTCTTCCTGCTACAGTCCAGTCTCCAGATCATCCACAATGTCATCTTGAAGACAAGAGGCACAAAAATCAGTATTGACAACAGCTATTATTGGCCTTCAATCAAAGCTCATTTGTGTTTGTAAAATCTATAGTTCTTCCATGGCCAGGTCAAGAAAATAACCACAAAGTTTTGGCTGATCTTGAAAGCATGATGGCGTCAAGAGTGAATCAAAACTGGCGGGGAAAACGACATCTCCCGACATCACATTTCCGACTTCTCAAGAGTCAGTGAGTGGATCACATCTAAATGGGTGACAATATATGTTCCCTGCCTACACTAGGTTTTCAAGCAAAAGAATTTAAGAGTCTGACTTACTTGTAGAAATTCTTCATGTCCCTCAGTGACACGTGCAGTCAACAGGTTCAATGAACTGGAGTCGCCAGTCAGGACAGCTGACCCTCAGGACATGCTCTGAAATATAAACAAGGAGTGTGAAGCGAAAAGCGTCTCTGTCTAGTCAACACTGAATGACCATGAAAGATGGTAAAGTTGCACAGCATTTTTTTTGGCTTCAATAAGATGTAGACTGTAGGCCAAGAAGTTTTTGCAATTTGATACTGGTTGTGTATTATGCCCAGCAGTTAAGAGATAAAATAAAAATGTAAGTTGTAAAACATAGTGTTAACTGTTTTCTCATCTGCTCTGGTGTGGGCCGAAGATGCCCAATCATCACAGGTTTCCCCTAGTAAAGGTAGGAACATCAGGACACGCCAAACTATACTTAGTCTAGTATATAAACTAGAAAGGCAGACATTTGCCTTGGAGCAAATTCAGCATAGCTTCACAACATTTCAAGACAAGGCAGGGAAAGAAGGAGA